ACACTAGACCTATATATAATAAATAATAATATAATATTAAAGAGCTTGCCTTTTACTTATAGATGTAGCAGTAGTTGGGATATAATGTCTTTTATGTACGCTTTGCTTTGTTGAAATGTAATGCTTTTCAAGACACACGGTTGGTCATTTCTGAGTTTGGACATTTCGGATCTTGACAGGTCTCTGGGCTAAGAGAGAGAAAAAAGTAAGGCCAGCGTCTGTGGTGTAGCAGTCAGGCATAGGCTTAGTCGTCATGCAGTACATCCAAGTTTGACCGGCCCCCTGCCCCAGGCAGTGCTGACTGAAGTGTCTTTAAGCCATTCCCAAAGGGGGGATATTAACATGTTCTTATGCACAGTAGAATAGTAAATGGGCTGATTTATCAATGTTATGCTCATACTGTGCCGGAATAGCAAAGTGGGAACTGCTGCTTTTTCTTTCCTTATCCTTACTATCGTCATTTTCCCTCTACTTCTTTTGTATGTTTGTCACTCTCTTGTGAACTGCTATTTCATGGGTGCCTTGATAATTGAAGCAGACTTTGTGCTGTTGAGGATCTAAGTGAGCAGAGAAAGTCTGATTCCCCGTAAAGACTTCTCTGTTGACATGACAATGACAATCTTTATCAACTCAACACCTTTCATATCCATTTAAATACACATTTCTGGGTGGATTTTACTGAAAAATGTAGTTCAAAGACACAAAAAATGCAAATTTCGTACTTCCTTGGACACTCAAGCTTTGAAAGTTAACAAACTTTGGCGGCTATTTTCTAGCTAATTTTACCTCTGAAACCAGGCCACCCCATCCCCTTCAATCGCAATATCTCGACTTCTGCTCAAGATGAAAGGGTATTTTTTTTTTGCCAAATGCGAGACAAATGAGTAAGCTTTACTTTAAGATAAGACTAATAACTCCCTACGCACAAAAATTGACGAGCGCCTGATTCCACCGTGTCGTGACACTATTTGTCAGGCAGCGTGGTAGAATCAGCCTCTCGTCAAAATAACCAAAGTGAAGAAACTTGCTTTTTTCTGTTGGTTTGTGAATTTTTATCAAATTTTTGTTTTTTGGCTCAACACCTTTCATGCCCATTAAAGTTAAAGAACTAATTTCTATGTGGATTTTTCTGAAAAACGATTAAAGGCACAAAAAATGTAAATTTTCAGTTACCACTGACTCTAAAAACCTAAGGAAATAACTAATCTTTGGCGGCCATTTTCTCACTAATTTTACCTCTGAAAACAGGTGACCCCCACCTCCTTCATTCGCAAATATCTCGACTTGTATTCAAGATAAATGGACATTTTTTTTCCTCCAAATAAACACAAGTGAACAAGCTTTACGATGATGCCAATAGCCCTACATGCTCAAAAATTGACGAGAGCCTGATTCCACCACGATGCCTCACATTTCTTGATGGGGGCATAAGAACCCCTACATAGAAAAACAGAGGAAAATGTATGCCAAGAACTGAAGGATGAGAAAAATGTGGGTCATGCTGGGAGTTGAGCTTCAAACTTCCTTGAGAATCTTAGCACACCCCAGTGGGAAGACGTTTAGTGCTTGTTTTAGTTTGAGTTTTACGGCACTTGCAACACAAATAGGTCACATTAAAAATATAAGCCGAAGATTAGAAGTGCTCGTGGAGAGTAACATAGAAAGAAAAGGAGGAGAGATTAGGACAATAGTTTTTTTCTAGGAAAGAAGAGGCAAAGCACACACCACAGCACCTGCCAACCACCCACACACATCAACAATGTAAAGGCTAGGCTCTTTATCAAACAACGGACGCACTCTAACATTTCAAAAAGTTCCTTTTCCATTCTGTTACACAACGGTCCACCCACCACCTTTCTCTTTCACCACAGGGTGCCTTTTAGTTTTAGTAGAGGTTTTACGGCGCTCGCAACTGCATAAGGTCATATGAGCGCCAGAAGATTAGAGGTGTTACAAGAGAGTAACAAACACAAAAAAGAACAAGGGGAGATAAGGACGATAGATGTTTGATAGGAAAGAAGGAGCAAACCGCACCAGAGCACCCGCCAAACCAGAGGGTGCTCAGGTGTGGTTTGCTCCTTCTTTCCTATCAAACATATATCATCTAAACCTCTTTTCCTCTTCTTCTTTCCAATCCTACTCTCTTGTAACAACTCGACACTTATATATGACCTAATTGTGCTGCAAGTGACGTAAAACTCTCATCACTACAATCATTCCTTGAAGTCAACCGCACTGACTCATCATTATTAAATTAAGTGCTCGATGTAAAACAGACATCTGTAGTCAGGGTTCCAAAACTTATTTCTCTGCTTGAATGCTCTGTCTCAAAAAACCTATACTATAAAATTATCCTGGTCATTCCCTATCGCACATCAATTCACGTTCTGAGAGAAATTTGTTTTTCGTCAATCCTGACACCTCGTTACCTGAGAATAACAAAGTTCCGTCTAATCAGTACCTAGTTTTGAAAAATTTGACGTCAAAGATTTCGAGTTTCACACCATGTCAAGCTTTTTCATATGCAATTCTTTGAATATCTTGATAACTTGATAACGACTCCGAATAACTGTACAATTTTGATAGAGCAGAGACAGAACATTTTGTTCCTGACCTCATGGACTTAATAACTCAAATCGGCCAAAAATGCCATATATAAAACTTTGTAATTCTCAGGTAGCTACTTGTCTATTACTTTTCAACCATTAGAAAATAAAATCTGGACTGATAACAACACCAACAGCAAATAAAACAACAAGAAAACATTTACAAAGACCTTCCATTTATTTATCACCAAAAGTCATGTAAAGCAGTTCCAAACTAAAACTGGCCGGAAAAAATAAAATTAACAAGTTAGAATCAGCGCTTTTGGTAGTGTCGTTACCATAATGAGTGTGAGTAGAAGGACTTGTCTCATTTTCACTTATCATTTCTCTATAATTTGAACACAAAAACATTTCCAGAAACTGGTCTCCGAAGTCGACTCACTTCCACATCCTCTTTTCCACGACACGATGAACAGCTAATTGAAAAAAAAATCACAGAAATTTAACAAAAACACCCAAAAAAGGTAGGGCGAGTAGTCTCACTAATAAGTTCAAATATAGAAAAACAACTTACAAATTACTTCATCTTCTGTTACGGAATGAATTTAACTTTAACAAAGAAAATAAACACACGTAGATAAGGAGGGATACAAGGTCAATAAGGCAAGAAATGAAGCATGAGAATAGCTCAGAACTTAGGAGCATCAATCCCAGTAGCCACTGCAGAGCCTGTTGGTTCGCACGCGGTGAAGTTGTTCGTCCGTTCGTCATCTCTCGTGTGTAGGCTCTAACCAGTGCTGTGGTCATCTTCTCTCTCTCTGCTTCACTTAGCCTCTGTAAGAGCTGAACGCAGGATTGGCACTGGAAAAACAGAGGGCAGAATCCAGCAATTAAATCTATCATCAACATTATTCCAAAATGGCCCAAGTTATTTTTGTTTTAGTAAGTGTTTTATGGCACTTGCATCACAAATAGGTCCTATGAGCGCCAAAGACTAGAGGTGTTAGGAGAGAGTAACAAACACAAAAAAACAAGGAGGAGAGATCAGGACGACAGCTGTCTGATGCGAAAGAAGGAGCAAACCACTTCGGAGCACCCGCCAACCACCCACTAAGTCATTTTTAAAATTAGGTTTTGAAAAGGTTAAAAAGAAAAAGAGTGTCCATTTCAGAACCATGACTTGGGCATTCGTTTTTCTTCAATCACAAAACTAGGAAGGAAATAAGGAAACAGAGTGAAATTACAGTCCTTCACCCACATCCTCGGATAACTGAGTCCAGAGAGCTAAGTTGTACAGGAAAGGATAAAGGCGATAGATGTTTCATAGGAAAGAAGAAGCAAACCACACCAGAGCACCCGCCAACCACCCACACAAGTGCATCTTCCCCCTCACCCTGTCCCAAGTGTACAGAGACCTCTTGGGAATAACACATTTTTAAATCTCTGAAAGGAACACAGCCAAACATGTTTCATTTGGAATCTCTTGAAACCTCTTGGTATAACTTATTCTTCAACTCTTTTGACCAAACTTTATACACTTCATCTGGAATCTCTTGAAAGCTTTTGGAATAACTTGTTCTTCAACTCTTTTGACCAAATTTTATTTTGAATTTCTTGAAACCTCTTGGAATAACTTATTCTTCAACTCTTTCCACCAAACTTTATACACTTTATTTTGAATCAGTACAGTCAACGCCGGCTTTAAGCACGGTCACCGAGAGAAAGCATAAGCGTGCTTAATTCCGGAGCGTGCTTGAGTGCGAAGTAGACATAATCCAGAGATTTTCATGTAGAAAATTTCCTGTGCTATTTCCCTTTGTTTGTAAGTAGGCCTATAGTGGACCCGCAAAAGTGTGCACTGTTATTTTTACCCGCCATGGTAGTTTTAATTTGTATGTATGTTTTTTTTTCTGGTCAAATGGGAAATGAAAACTTAAATTTAGACAGCCAGTCACGATACAGCACACGAGGCCTACGTACACTACCTGTGGGTACCACTGCCTGCTGTACCACATTCATACCACTGCCTTCATCCCCCCAAAGAATACACCGTCTTTGATCCCACCTCGCGTGTGATACCAAATTAAATCAGGATTATCGGATAGCGAGGGGCAATAAGGTGAAATTGCAGCCTGCCTTCTTTTCTCGTCTCCCAGACTCTCTTTGTATTTTTTCGTCTGTGTGTAGCTTTGCCCTAGGCTAGATCCTATGTCCACGCACGCGGCTGTGTGCATCTCTCAGCCTTCCTCTCCGCGCGCGCATGTGTGTCCATCACTTGCGTTCTTTGTGTTTCTCTTTACCACACTCCACTGCTGCGGTGTAGACTGTGTTCGAACTTCGATGGGTCATCGTGAAAGTATTGACTGTCTTGTAAATGAAGCGTGCCCAAAGCCGAAGTTACCGTGCTTAAAGGCGTGTAATTTATATAGCGAAAATTCGGTAAGAGCCGTTTAGCGTGCTTGAGTCCGAAATGTGCGTTATGCCGGCGTGCTTAAAGTCGGCACGGACTGTACAACAGAAGTAGCTACAAATGACACATTGCTGAGCTCACAAAACTGGAGGAAAACAAGAACACCACTCTACCTGAATGAGCTGTTACCGCCAAACCCTGTAGAAAAGAGAAGGAGAAACATTTTTTTGAGTTTCAATAAAAGCACACAAGTTTCAGCACGGCCCATACAAAATACTGAATACAGCCCAGCACAGCAAACTTAAACAAGTACAACGCAAAAACCACGGATTCCTCAAAATCTTTCCCCTAAGTTAAATAGTATTTGTATTATGCCTATGACATCCTCCCTCAACAGCAAGCTCTAAGCACTTTGCAATCTATATTGTTACCCCAGCAGACTAGAACTCTCAGAAATATTCTCGGCTCCCCAAGAAGCATACAGTCATACAGTGCAGGAAGCAGATTACACTTGCTAAAACACTAACAAACTGAAAAGATTTTTCGTCACCTACAGTCAAGCACTCATTCCCACCTGGGTGAAGTGAGAAAAATTCATGTAAAGTGCCTTTTCGAAGCAGACTTTGTGCTGCTGAGGCTAGAGAGATGAGCAGAGTAAGCCTGATTCCCCGTTTGGACTTCTCTGTTGACACTCATATGACCGTATGCAGTTTCGAGCGCCGTAAGACCTTACTAAAACAATCAAAAGTGCCTTTCCTAAGGACACAACAGGTCCCTGACGAGGTTCCAACCCATGTCCTTAGTTTTTTAAAGTTTTAGTAAGTTTTACAGCGCTCACAACTGCATAAGATCATTTGAGCGATAAGGGGTGGATGTCAACAGAGAAGTCCTTACAAGGAATCAGACTTACTCTGCTCACCACTCGAGCTTCAACAGCACAAAGTCTGCTTCGACTATCAAGGCACCCCGGAAATAATGGATCACAAGTGTGACAAACATACAAAAGAGGTAGAAGAAAAATGATGATAGTAAGGATTAGGAAAGAAAAAGCAGCAGCTTCCTGTTGCAGTTCAGGCAGTTAGGAGCATGACATTGATGAATCAGCCCATTTGCAATTCTACTGTGCATAAGAACAGGTTAATGTCCCCCCTTTGGGAATGGCCCAAAGACACGTCAGTAGCACCGCCCCAGGAGAGGGGGGGGGGGGGGGAACC